CACGGTCATGGAGCCCATTCTCACATGAGGAAGAGACAGGGTCTGTGTTTAGAACAATGTCAGAAGTGGCTGGTAGTTGAGAGGCTGGGAGAGGGGCACAATGGAGGATATGTGTTTTCCTCTGATTAGCCACGTGCTGCTGAGGGCAGTTGCCTTTTTGTGCTTGGCATAATAGCAGAGGAAGCCCTCTTTGTGGTTTTGCGAACAAATACATCGTGATAAACTCTGGGTGGTGTTCTTGGCTGTGGTTCTATTTGTGAGCTAGTAATTTAGGCTATGGGATATTCCCATCAGAACAATGCAACTTTTAGAGGAGAAAAGTCACGGTTTTATTAGCGTAAGTGCTACACACACACGCACACACAGAGCCACAGACACATAGATGTGCACACAGCATTGTTTCACCCTCTTGCTGATTCCTGGTCCTGTCCCGCCTCCTCTGCAGCCCCTTGCCTGAGTGTATTGCCTGAGGCTCAAGGGAGTATCCTTAATACAAAGCTGCACTCGGCTCTGCAGGGGGCGAGCCACGGACTTCCTGGCTCAGCCTCTGATGGTGATTACTGGGGTTTTTCATCCAAGAAGACTGTATTTATCCATAAGCAGGACTAACAGCCAAGGTTCTAAGGTCCCTACACCAGTCAGATCCCTCTTGCCTTCAATTTTCTTTGATTGTTTCTCCTCTCTCCTCTGCCTTGCCAGTTCTCTGAGCAAACCTGTGAGTTCCTTGTGGCCCCTTTTGCCTCCTCCAAACACACACCAGCGCACACAGATACAAATACACACACTTGAGGGCCCTGGCTTAGATCCCTGTTAGGAAGTGGCTCTTGAGAAAATCAGAGAAAACCCATTGTGTCATGTGGCCCAAATGATTGGCTGAGTTGGCACTGGGCCATTTGGTATGAGTTGAAGGATGTGGTGTCTCTGTACCATCCATCCTATAACCTCTCTCCAGTTGGCTTCTGAAAGTCCCATACAAATTGAGAAATATCATTATTTTCAAACTAGAAATTAGGACTCATATCTGGCAGGTTATCAGGAAAATAGGGCAGAGCTGTTTGGGGAAATCTGGGACAAACGGTCACTCAGAAATAGATTCTACCTCGTGTTCCAGCTGAGATCATGGCAGAGGCTGCTTGCTTGGAACACTGTTGAGAAGGATTCTGGGGCCACATCTGGGTTTAGTGGGGTGAGGAATGCAGGGGTCTATCTGGAAGGTCTCAGGTAGTCATGGGATGGGGTAGTGGAAGCATTACAATATTGGCCTTACAAGCAAATGGTTTCTGGGAGGCCTAACAGTGAAATGCTCTTAGCTGTTAACATTGTTGTGTGAATTAGTGAATTAAATTATTAGATTTGCTGCCCATCAACTCTCAGGGCTCTAAGGGGATGGAGTCACAAGATTGGGGAAGTTTTTTATGGCTTCTTCTTCTTTTTATATAATTGAGATAAAATTCACATAACGTATAATTCATCATTTTAACCATTTTAAGTTGTACAATTCAGTGGCTTTTAGTTCTTTCACAAGGTTGTGCAATCATCACCACTATCTAATTCCAGAATTTTTTCATCACCCCAAAAAGAAACTCTGTATCCATTAAGCAGTCACTCCTAATTCTTCCTTCCCTTCAGCCCCTGGCAACCACTGATCTGATTTTTGCTCCTAGGGATTTGCCTATTCTGGCTGTTTCCTATAAAGAGTCATACAATATACATCCTTTTGTGTCTAGTTTCTTTCACTTCATGTTTTCAAGGTTCATTCATGTTGTAGCATGTATTGGTATTTCATTTCTTTTTAGGGCTGGATAGTATTCCATTGTATGGATGTAACATATTTTGTTTATCCATTCATCAGTTGATGAACATTTGGGTTGTTTTCACCTTTTGGCTATTATGAATAGTGCTACGATGAACATTCACATACAAGTTTGTGTTTAAACACCTGTTTTCAACTCTCTTAGGTAGATAGGTGTCCCCCTCCCCCCACTTTGGTGATGATGAATCTATTTGAAACTGTCTGATAGGTGAGTTTTGCTAAGAAGAAAAGAGCAGGAGTTTGAGTGCTGCCTGGCTGGGGCATGGAAGGGAAAGGGTACAGAGCATCTTGGGCATGCTGGTGAATCCTAAGGGCGAAGGGTCTCTGGAAAGGAGAACAGGAGAGGGAGGAGATGGTGCCAAAATGGGATGGCAATGACCTTGAGCTTGGTGGACGGAAGAAGAATGGGTTTGTCCAGAATTTATAAAATGGCTGCTGATGGCTTTCTGTTTTTTATAAGGAAAGGAAAAATCTCTGGTGAGGATAAAAAGATGGGCTGGGAGAGGGTCAAGGGAAAGTGAAAATGGTGATGGCTTTGGCTGTGTCTTAACTGGATGTTGTTAATGGAGGCATTTTTGGCAGAAAGAAAGCTTGTTTATCTGTGTGTTAATGCAAGATGACAAGGCCGGTGGAGCAAGTTTTAGCACAACAAACTGAAGAAAGAGACCCTCGTATTACAATAATGCTGCCAGGCATTTCTATGACAATGGGCTTTTTTGAAAGAGTCTTCATATCTATAAGCTCATTAGGATGAGTGAATCAGGTAGAGCAGGCGCCATTTGCTGCCTTTTGAGAAACAGGAAATCAAGGCACCCAGCACAGGGCCTGGTGATAGTAGGCGCTCAATCAGGATTTGTTAAATAAGTGAAGCAGAGTCATATCAAGTCAAAGAACGTCAGAGCTGGGAGGGTCTTTGAGATCATCCAGAAGCCCTCCCCCCAACCCATTTTTGGAGGAGGAACGTCGGAGCAGAGTGGGGAAGTCCTGGGCTTAAATGCAAGGTCAACCGGTTGGCGAGTGAAGGACCCAAGTCAATAGTCTGTCCTTGTACAGAGTGTCTTCATAACATCCACTGCATTGCTTTGTGTTCTTGTCTGTCCTCACCACTGGGCCACATGCTCCTGGGGGTGGAGCTTGTGTTTGATTCATTTGTGTGTCCCCAGGATGTAGCACAGCGTTGAAACTTGTTGAATGGATACACAGGAACTGCAAGCTCTCTGCTCTTCCTGGAGCTCTGCTCCTTCTCGTTCTGCCACAGCTTTTGGTGGCAGAGCCAGGACTCAACCACAGTTTCCAGGCCCCAGGGATCTTTTGCCTATATCGCAATGTCTATACTCATCAAGGTAGGTGACAAGGTAGTTCACCTGGCAGGTTGCTTTGGACTTGCTAGGACCCCTGAGATAATCTCCACTGTGTGGTTATTATGGACGTGTCTAGAAGATGAAGGAAAGAGGAAGTTTTCTTTAGTTCAAAGCCTAAGGCCAATCTAGCCACTTTCTGTGGCATCTCAATGTATCCTGTGCACCAGGAAGTTCTGTCCTTTGGTATGTTGTCCAGGTCCCAGGCGGAGGTAGTCTTGAGCCAGTGCCTTGGGGGAACTGTGCCCTTCAGTGTGGAGCTGACGATGATGGGGGCAGGCAGAGGCGATGGGATGTTCAAGGGGTTCTGAAGCAATTCCTTGTGTATCTTGTTTTGTTCTTCCTAAGGATTTCTATTTGTTCCTGAGCACATATTTGAGGCAAAGCAGAAAAGGTCTCATATTATTCCTTCCCATGCCTCAGTACTAGATGTGGCCAGCCTATGAATGGCAGATGGCAGGGACCCAGGCCAGTGTATGGAGGGTCTTTCTGCAGACACAGAAAGAGAGGTGCAGAGGGATTACACCTGGGGTGTGGACCATGGTGTGGGCTTTGGTATCTGTCTTCTGGTTCTGCCCAGTGTTGAGCAGCCCCCATGTGGCTCTTCCCACCTGAACCTCTACTTCTGGCACAAACTCCAAGATCCTTATGTTGGGTCCTGCCACTACCTCACTGGCTTGGGAACAGCTTGCCTTCCTCTCTCCACTCCACGCCAGTGAGATTTATAGAGTGCAGAGTGCAAAAGGATCACACTGGAAAGCTCAGTGTCAGATGATGGCCATGTTACCAGCAACTCTACTCCTCCTGATTTCAAAGCAGTGTCCATACAACCTAAGAGGAAAGTCAGATGGTCTTGTCACATGGATGAGATATCCAGGGACCAGTGGTTCTTCTTTGCTCTGTGCCTCTCATCTCGAAGAGGCTGAGGGAGGTACTCAGAAGTGACCCAGGCAGACTTAGGTGCCCATGTGAAGGGGCTAGTGGCCCAGGGAGCATGAGAAGCAGCCTTGGCATCCCCCTGAGGGGCCAATTCAAGTCCTCCAGACTCATCATGGCCGGGAGGTTGGAGTGAGCCCCTTCTTTCCCATCTTTTCTGAAGGTGAGTAGCTCCTCAGTCCTCTGAGATGGCATCTTCTGCCCCAAGGGGCGCAGTGGGATGTGTGCGGGGGTACGTGGCTGTGCTGGTTTGGATGAAGAACGATGATACCGGAGACGATGGTGAAGGAGGGGACCAATGCAGCCCCGGCGCCGGCAATACGCTGTAGTTCCAAGGGCAGCCCATTCGTGGGAGTGGGGCGAGCTCTCAGATGGGGAGGAAGAGCTGTATTCTCAGAGATTGCTTCTCTAATGACTGAGGTTTGGCTCTTCTTTACGGTGGGGGATCGACGAGGAAGCCGATTTTCAAAGTGGGCTCTTTGGATCGTGAAACAGGATGAATAGGGGAGCTTCCAAGAGAGGGTGCAGTCTGGGGGTTGGCAAAGGCCCCCTGAGAAGGTTGTAGGTGAGCTAATCCCTGTCAGGAGGGAGGGCTGGTGAGGGTCATCCTGTCAGATCTTCAGACCAGAAGTGGCAGCTAGGAACTGTTTCCCGAATAGTCACTGAGGGTCACATGGGAGAGAATGGAGGATGACAATGGGATGGGTCCCTATAACTAAACCTTGTTTAGTTCCTGTCTTGTCACAAGCCACTCTGTTTCATGACATTGTTTTGTCTCACATTAGACAGACCACAACTCCTTTTCCCCAGACTGAGATGTGAGATGGAAATGGATTACCCTCCCCTTCCACCGCGCCCCCCCCCCCGCCCCCCCCCATGGCTAGCACACTCACCCGCACCAGGTCTGGGGTGAGGCGCTTGGCCTGCAGCCATTTCTGAAATCTCCTCGTTTTCCGCAGGACGCGCTCAATGCTGCAGGTCTTTGGGGCTGCTGCAAAGGCACAGATTCTCCTGTCCGAAATTTCGTTTTGCTGTTTGCTGACCAGCCTTGAGACCTCCACAGGGCGCCAGGTTTTGGAATCATCGGAGTAATTTGCAGAGTAAGAAGGCAAGTAGCCGGAAGGCAGTCCGAGGTGGGAGGCCAGCCGGTTGTCAAACCTGGAAGAATAGCCCTTTTAGGGTCGGCCTGGGAGCTGGAGAGATGGAGCAGGGCCTAAGCAGGGACTAGCCGCACTGCCAGAGCCAGAGCCAGTAGAGCCCGGGAACAGGGAGACAGGGGGCAACACCTGGTCTGATCTATCTCCTCCTTAGACTGGGGCACTCCAAACACATTTTTGTGAAATGACTGTTTTCGTTTTCTCAGACTTAGGGAAGTGTATATGTGTTGTCAGGAAAGATGAGGGAAGTGCATGCCAGATACAAACTTTATCCTCTTTACCCAACTGGCACAGAAGGACTAGAAATGGCTTTCTGCACTTCTACTCCATGTAAAGACAGCAGCTTTACACATGCTGGGACCTTTGGTTCTCCTAAAACCCCACCCCCGCTTTACAGATGTAGAAACTGAGGCTTAAAGAGCTTAAGTACTTTGCCCAAGGTCAGACAATACGTTGCCAAGCAGGAGTGCAAACCCAGGGCTGTCTGTCAGCAAAACTCATGATGTTTCCCCTTCCAACTACACTGGTTCCAGAAACTGCTCACCCTCTGACCATCAGCTGGGTCTTGGAATCACAGTTCTTGAAGAGGCTACTGAGCCTGCACTGGGGAGACCACTGCCTCTCCATATCCAGCCCCAAGCAGCCCCATCAATTTTGCTTTCAGTCCAAAGATTTAAGTTATCAGTACTAACCAAGTCTCAGGGAACAGTGGCTGCTAAATGGTCACCAAACTCAAAGCTGCCTGGGATCTGGGAGGTGTGTAATCCCACACAATGGCCTGCTCGGTCCAGGGGAGAGGCTTTGGCCTGTTACCATCTGCCGGTTTCCCGGGCCCCACCCTTGACCCTTTTCTCCAGTCATTCCTTCAGCTGTGTGCGGACATTTCCATTAGGGAAGAATGTTAAATCTTCTTCTGATTTATATATGAAAAATCACTAAGGTAACATTTACCTTCACTATTATTAATAGTTGAGGGTCATACCGCAAATGAAAATTAGGCCTATAGCATACCATATATATCTAATTTAAATAAGGATCTTTAGATTCTTATTATTGGCCTTTATTGGGCAACCTCATGATAATGAGTTTTGGAAGAATTAGCATTTTGATTAGCCCCAAAACCTAGACTGTTTTGCCTTCTCACTTAGAAGAAACACCTTTACCCTAAGAGACTGCAAGCTTTTAAAAAAAGGTGCTCTAGCGGAAACTGTCAATAAGCCCCTTTTGCAACGGAGGACCGTTCAAACGCAATGGCAGTAGGCACAAAGAATTCTGTTCAAGAACATTGCCCCACATCTATTTAAAAAGACAACACACTGTAAACTTGCAAAGGGTCAATTTTACTGGAATTTTCAGGACAACCATGGGAAATGGCCCTCCCTTCTGGTAGGATAAGGAAGGGCCAGCACCCTGAGGCAGGCCTGTCTGTCTATTTCCTGTAGCTGTTCTTGCTCATGGGGCTCAACCACCCTCCCCCCAACCAGGGGCATGTGACTAAGGATTTACAACTAGGTGGCTCTCTTAGATCACAATAACAGCAACACACATTTGTGAAACACTTAAGCATGTGAATGACTTTGCTAAACACTTTACGTGTATTAATTCAGTTAAATCTTTCAACAAACCTATGTGGTCAGTGCTATTATTACCATACAGACGAGAAGACTGAGACACAGAGAAGTTAAGAAATTTTCCCAAAGTCACACAGCCAGGAATTGGAGGAAGTGGCATTTTGCTTAGTCCTCTATCATTCATTTTACGAATTAGCTCTTGGAAACAGATTGGTGACATTATTAGGGGTTTTAGCTAGCAGAGTCCTTAAAGATTATTTTGTCCCTGCCTCCTTCCCCATCATATTTTGAGGATAGAAAATTGAAGGTGACTTGTCTAAAGAATCACAAACAATTAGTGGCAGAAGGGCACAGATCTCAGGCGTCCTTGTCTCCCAGTTGGTGGGAGTGGCATGGGGAGGGGCTTCCTGTCCTGTAGGACAAGCTCATTGTCCTTTTTGTCTGTCTCCACCTCCTGAGGAGGCACTACTGGGAGGACAGCACTGACTTGGTAGGTGACCTGTAATGAATGCCTGGTACATGTTCAGCAGTGGCTCAAGGCATCCCATAAGGACCAACTGAGGACAAATAAACAGGTTTACAGGCCACTCTGTCCCCCTATTAAAAATGGTAATCAATTTATGGCATTGAATGGGAAAAATGTATATTCTTACAGCTTTGATTACCTACTTTTTGACTAGAAGAATTAGTGAGAAAATGGGCCCTGCTTTTTATTCACTAAAATGTTGATATCCTGGAATTTGGAAAACCACAAAACAGAGGCAGCGTTCTAACCCTCCTTCTGAACTGAGATCATGGGCGTGTTTGAAGTGAGACTGGCTTAGTTCCTCACTGGGCCAAAAGATGGACGAGCAGGATCATAGTTTCCCAGAGTTGGAAGGAAGCATAAAGGTTGTGCGGTCCAAGCCCCCCCAGCCCCTCAACATGGAGAGCAGGGTGGAGGTGTGGGGGAGAGCGACAGCATTGGAATGAGAATCAAATGCCCTCTTCTCCTGTAAACTTCTCATGCTTGCCTCCAATCACTCAGTCTGCACACATGCCTTCCTAAATATTTCTAGCCTCTCTTCCATCTTCACCCCTCAGCTCTGCACAGAACTCTGAAAACATCTAGTGTCTTCCTAAAGCTCTCAGGACACAGTTCATACTCCTTAGAGCAGTTCACAATGCTCTTTCTAGGCCTATCTCCTGCTGCTCCCCTTACAAGCTTGCTTTGATCTTGCCAAACCACTGACCAGCTTTGGATAAGCCACGTGGTTTTGGGCCTTGGGCCTCCACTCACCTTGTAATGTGCTAATCTCTTTGAGACACTTTCTTCCTCTTTTCTGCCTGGATAATCCCTACCCAACTCTTTAAAATCCAGATAGGTGCCATCTCTTCTGGTACCTTATCCTCACTTCCTTATCTGCAAGTTAAGATAGGTTCCTTCTCAGATGCTCCCATGACACCCTCTGTAGGACATTTTGATGGTCCTCATACTCTGCTTTAATCATTAGTTTATGTCTCTGTCTCCCCCATAGAAAGTAAACTCTTGCAGGGCCAGAATTGGGCTCCCCTCAACTTTATAACTCAGTGCCTAGTAGAGTCCTTGGGACTAGGTTAGTGCCCAATACATTTTAGTTGGATGGATGGATGCATGGGTGCTTGGATGTATAGATGGATAAGTGAGTAGAGGGATACATGGAGGGCTAGGTAGATGGGATTCCCAGAGTGATAGTTGGGTGGAAGAATGCGTGGAGGGATGCCTGGATGAATGGGTAGGTGGATAGGTGGGTGCATGTACGGATGATTGAATGTGTAGATGGATGCTTTTGCCATAAGCTCTGGGGCCCTGCAGCTCCCAAGACCTCTGAGTTGATATGAGGAAATGAGTTAGAGCAATAATTACTATCACCTTTTGAGGGGAAGGAGGTAGACAAGGGCAAGGGAGAAGGGAAGGCGAGAGGAAGCCTAATGACTTAATTATTTTACTATGAGCCCTCTATCCCTCACTTAGAAGTATTTAAGCATTCTTTAAGACTTTTGGAGTGGGGGGGTGGGATTTGAGGCCATGTGGGTACAGTAAGGAAGGTGAGGTAAAGTATCCATCCTAGTAAGAGCCTGGGAATCTCTAGGAGCAATTCTGATCAGAAATACTGCAACTAAGTACCCCTCCCCGACCCTCCACCCCAACCAGTTATCTGCACATACACAAATACTGATCAATCAGATCCTGGGAGACCATACCAGTTGGTATGATCATTTAGGATTTCACATATAGGTATATTTTCAGTAGGAAGAATATGTCAACCAGATTTACTCATTTTTCTAGCTTCCTTTGACTTTTTTGTTCAGAATTTGAAAGTCAACATGGAAAGCATGGGAAAATTGGTACTGAAAACATTCAAAGGTCAATGGTTGAGTATGGGAAGCATCAGATTCATCATTAGCATTATCACCAAAGAAAAGATAAGGAAATGAAGGAAAGGTGACTTCCATCTACCAATCACGTGTCTTCAGCCTACCCAGCCAGCCTGGGAAGCTCACCTTTCATTTGCTGCTGAGCAACAAGCATTGTCCAGTCCTTAGTGAAGACCAGGCCTGGAGCGCTAACACTTGCCTGGCTATAGCATTTCAGCCAAATGTCTGAGAGTTTTGGATGGGCTTTCTCTTAAGGTATCATCATCATCATTTTTAAAAGTAGAGAAGTGTCTAGAGACGAACAAGGACAAGATGAACAAACACACCATTGAAAGGAGAGGGAAAGGATGTGAACTTATAGACAATTTAACAAAGAAGAAATAAAAATGGCCAATAAGTCTGAAAAAAGGGCTCAACTCAGAAAAAATACAAAGTAAAAATGGTAGTAATCTTAAATATTTGTGCGTATGCAAGAAGCGAGCTCTATAGGTAGAAGTTTCCATTTGGATATATATCTCAAGATCCTAAAAATTTGCTATGTTTTTTGACCCAGAAATTCCGCTTTTAGGAGTTTGTCATAAGAATTAATCCCTGTTGTGCACAAAACTCTAGCCACAGGGATGTTCAACATAGCACTGTTTATAATACTCAAAAGTGAAAAAAAAAAACCCTAGTTGTCTCAACATAGATGATTCCTTTAATAAATTATGGTTGATTGATGCAATTGAATACCATGAAGCCATTAAAAATCAAATTGTGAAGAATGGTTAATAATGTGGAAAGGTGTTCCTGAATATATTGTTAAATAAAAGTTTACAAAAGAGTATACGTAATATGATCACATTTTTGTTGAAAAAACTTTTAATCCATACTTAGAAAAAAGGTGTCAAGGATATACACCAAAATGTTAACTAAGGGGTGATCTCTTGGTGGAAGAATTATACATGATTTTTATTTTGTGCTTTTTTTAATCAATATTTCCTGAAAATTCTAAAATAAACAGATATTACTTTTAAAATAAGGAAAAAGCAGGGCAGGCCCCGTGGCCGAGTGGTTAAAGTTCTGCGTGCTTCACTTTGGCGGCCTGAGGTTCATGGGTTCAGATCCCAGGTGTGGACCTACTCCACTCACCAGCCGTGCTGTGGAAGCAAAGTAGGGGAAGATTGGCACAGATGTTAGCTCGGGGCTAGTCTTCCTCAAGGAAAAAAAAAAGAGGAGGGTTGGCAATGGATGTTAGGGCGAATTTTCCTCACACACACACACAAAAGGAACAAGTTATTTACAACATAGAGAAAAGAACTATAAGCAAGTCCATGTCCCCAGACCACTCACTGCCTCTCTCGGCTTCTTTGCGTTGAGGAATGTGCATTCCAACACGAAGAACTCTAAACCTCAACCTGCCCCGCCTGGTGCTTTCCTGCTTGCGATTGCACACTTCCCTTTCAGGCACACATGGAAAATGAATTCTGAGGGTGAAGTAATATCCTGAACTCTACTGGAACACAAACCTATTTGGGGAAATGCTTCCTGACTTCAGCCAATGCCTGCCTGGTGAGAAAAACTTCGTCTATTGCCCCTTGGTGAAGAGTCAGCTGTGAGATTCATAAACCCTTGTTCACTTATCTGGAGAAGGATGTGAAGCTGGAGCTCTTCTTCAGTTGAATCCCTGAATTTCCCTCCCTCCTATCTTATGTCCATATTCTCACTGCCTCATTTCTCCAAGGCATCAGCCCCACTTCACCTGTGTTTTTGGTCCTCTCCACCCTATTTCTTAGGTGGGGAATCTTGAGTTCACTTTCAACACCTCCATCTTTACTTCCTCTCACATCAAGTTGGTCAACAAAACGACTCTCTAGCTGAACCAGCTTGCATCCATCCTGTCCTGCTTTTTTCCTGATGACCTTTCTCCTGGACTAGGAGAACTGGTCTGGTAGCCCCTGCCAGTGTCACCAGTCCATCCTGCATACTGGTTTCCATAAGATCTTGTCAAAGCACAGGCCTTATCTTGTCCCTTAACACCCTCACCCTGCAATAGAGCTTCCCCAGTTGGGAGCCTTTCAACTTTTCAACATTCAAAATGCCTTAAAAATAGGCCTAATAGAGAAAGTTCACATCAACTTCATACAATATCTACCATGCTCAAAAGAAGTTCAACATTTTTGATTGATACTTTCTATTTGTTACTTCTGTTTAGTAACTTAGTTGCATAATCCAATACGTCTTTGGTTAATACAGATTAAAAATAAAATTATCGTAAATTAATGCGTTTTGTTTGGTCACTAAATCTTACAAGCCTGAGGTAGGTCCTTGGGGGAGGGCAGAGGAGAAGAGGCCTATTACACAGGGTCTTTGGTGTTGAAAAGACTGGGAACCACTGGCCCAGAGGTTAAGGTTCCAATTCCTTGGCATGGCATCCAGGGCCACCTTCCCCTCATCCCCCATCTGACCCTTCCAATCTCCTCCTTCTGCCACACCTCCACATATGCCCCATGCTCCAACCACTAAGTGCTTCTCACCTCTTCCCACACTTCTGGGCCTTTCCTTAAGCTCATCCTTCCACCTTAAGCCCTTCCCCTCCCACTAAATTTCAGTTTATCATTTAAGGCCTTGCTCAGAATGTCTTCCCCTGGAGAAGCCCTTCTCTAGTCCCCATTTGGAATTAATGTCCTCTCCCTGAGGCTCCCGGAGGTTCTTTACACTTCACTTCTGGCCTGCATCAGACCAGGCCTTATTATTGTTATTGTTGTTTGTAACGTGGCTCTCTCCTCCTGAACCCCTGGAGGGTAATGACCAGAGTTATAGCGATGTCACTACAGTACCTGCTGAGTCTTGGCTGTGGTAAACGCTCACTGACTGTGTGTGATACCATTCTTTAGTGACAGCCACATGCATCACATCACAATTTATTAACTTGGGTTTTCCTCTGATCAAGGCAACATCTCACAACAGAAAACTGGTTCAGAAACTTTGAAGCAAACTGCCCTGGTTTGAATCCCAGATCTACCACTTACTAGGTAATGACCTTGGGCAAGTCACTTAATCTTGCTGCGTCTCAGTTCACCATCTCAAGAATGGGTGCAAAACACTAACTCCCAAGATGGTTGTGAGGAGTAAATAAAACTAGCTTTTAAAATGTCTGTCACAAAGTAGACTTTCTATAAATTTTATTTCCCTCCTCCTCTGAGAAATGAATTTGGTAAACTCAATAATCGCAGGCTACTCTACTCATGGAAAAGAAAACTTTAAGCCCCCACTTCAAAAGGAAACTGGATTTAGCATTTAGGGCTGGAATTTGGCTTCACATTTTACCCTCCTCCCCACCTCAACTTCAACCCATTACCATATGGTTAAATGACTTTGCTTCAGCTCCCACCCATAAATTATATCCTGACTCATTTTCAACAAACGCCTGGACATCTTCACATGAAGGGAACAGAATTTTGCCCCTCCGAGTTATCTGATTGAGATTCTGACCTTATTTCTTCTTTAAAGAACTTCTTGCAAATAGATGTTCCGATGCAGGCATTGCATTTATCAAGACCGAGGAAAGTCCTTCCAAAATTGTAGCTGGTTCTGACTCGGGGCACCAGAGAAGGAGAAGGAGAAGCCGGCGAGGAGACAGAACAGCGCAGGGCTGAGACCCACAGCAACAGGGCAGGCCAGCCTGGGCGGAGGGCGGCAGCCTCAGGTCCCAGCCAGGGCTCCATCTCGGGCTCAGGACTCCAGCTGCAGCCTTTGGCTGCCCTCTCAGGGCTGCACAGAGGCAGATCTTGGCAAAAGAGAGGGGGCTGGCTTCAGGGCGCTGACCCCATCCCAGCCTTCGAGGTTTCTGTTTGAGGATGCTAAGGAGCTTGGGGCTAACGAGGCTGGAGAAGAGGTGAGGAAGTCCATGGAGGATGCTGATAACACGGTTTCCAGAGTTACTCTTCCTTTCCCTGGGGCGGCTGCCACAGGCTGGGGAGGGGCTGACTGGCAGATTTCGGGAAGGACAATGGTCAGGGCTTCTCTGTGCAGTCCTTTCGACAAACACAGGATATCCTGGTTGGACAGGAAAGGTCCCTGCAGGATGTATGTCCGACCTGGGTTCCACCTGGGAGTTTCAAAGGATCCTGCAGACCTCCACCCTCCACTGTTTTAATTCTGGGTGTATCTGTCCCTATGGATCACACACACACACACCAATTTTTCTCCCCTCTGCAGTGGATATTTTGGCCTGCCCCTTAGCCAGCCGTACCTCCCTCGCTTTGACCATATTTGGCTGTGAAATAAGTAGAGGTCGGTTTGCTGGCCATTAAGTGGCACGTTTCACACTGATTTGAAAGGCAAAGCCTTTTTGCTGCCTAGGAAGTAGAAAAACTTAAGCTAGTCCGTGCTTCAGCTCCTCTTGCTGATCTGAGAAGAGAGGAGAGAGAGCCCAGTGGCCTCTGATGTGCTGAGGGGAGCACCAGAAAGAGCCCGCTGACTGCACTCAGCTGTGTCCATCCCTCTACCCCATGCCTGAAAATCCATCTTCCCTTTACCACCCTGCCTCGTTTCTCAGTGGCCGGCCTGACTTGGTGGGATTTAACTGCCCCAGGATTGCCCTGCTCCTGACACCAAGATAAGATCCACAGCATGGAGTAGACAGGAGTCCTAATTTAGGAATAGAGAGAGCCTATGAGGATCAAATCAGGGAAGGCAGGCTTGGGCTGGGAGAAGGAAAAAGGGAGGTAAGAGGGGCCTGGGGATGGCCTCAGGAGAATTGGGGAATTTTGCTAGAGATTGGTGGGAAGAACAGGGTAATGGCAGGTTTCTGATGCTTGAGCATGTGCTTATTAGCTAAGCGTATATCCTCCTCAGTGAAACGTCTGGGCGTGTTTGGTTTTTATTGTTCAGTTGTGAGAATTCTTTATATATATATATATATATATATATATATACATAGACACATATATATATACATATTCTAGGTAGTAGTCCTTTGTTGGTTATGTGGCTTGCAAAATTTATATTTTCTCCCAGATGATAATTTGTCTTTCATCTTCTTAACAGGATCTTTCACAGAATAAAAGTTTTTAATTTTGATGGCATCCAATTTGTCAAGTTTTCCTTTTATGTATCGTGCTTTTAGTGTCCAGTATAAAAACTCTTTACCTAGCCCTAGGTCCCAAAGGTTTTCTCCTATGGTTTCTTACAAGTTTTATAGTTTTACATTTTATATTTAAATCTATGATCTGTTTTGAGTCAATTTGCGTGTAAGATGTGGTTGGATCAAAGTTCTTATTTCTGCTGATGGATGTCCAATTGTTCCAGCACCATTTGTTAAAAAGACTATCATTTTTCCATTGAACTGCTTTTGCACTTTTGTAAAAAATCAGTTGTCTATACTTGTACGTGACTATGTCTGGGTTCTCTGTTCTGTTTCACTGACCTATGTGTCTGTTCCTCTGTCAATACCACACAGTCTTTATTGTAGCTATAGAATAAGTCTTGAAATTAGGTAGACTGTTTCCTTCCGCTTTCTTCTTTTTCAAAATTATTTTAGTTATTCTAGTTCATTTGTCTTTCTGTATAAATTTTAAAATAATCTGTTCTATATCTACACAAAATCTTACTGGAAATGAGTTAAATACGTATATCAGTTTGGAGAGAATTGACTGCTTTATCATGTTGAGTCTTCAAATACATGAATACAATACATCTCTCCATTTATTTGGATCTTTGATTTCTTCCATCAGCATTTTGTAGTTTTCTGCATTCAAGGTCTGTACATGTTTTTTTTGAAATTTATGTCTAAGTATTTCACTTTTTTTGAGGGATTATAAATGGTGTTGTGTTTTTAATTTTGGTGTCTATGTGTTCATTGCTATTATATACAAATACAATTGACTTTTGTATGTTGATCTTGTATCCTGTGGCTTTGTTGAACTGACTTATTAGTTCGAAGAGATTTTTTGTAGATTCCTTGATATTTTCTATGTAGATTATCATGTCATCTGCAAATAGGCAGTTTTATTTCTTCGAAAAGATGCTGTTAAGACCAATGTCAAAGAGCATACTGCCTATATTTTCTTCTAGGAGTTTTATGGTTTCAGGTCTTACATTCAAGTCTTTAATCCATTTTCAGTTAATTTTTGTGTATGGTATAAGGTAGTGGTCTACTTTCATTCTTTTGCATGTGGCTATCCAGTTTTCCCAACACCATTTATTGAAGAGACTTTCCTTGCTCCATTGTATGTTGTTAACTTTTTGTCAAAAGTTAGCTGTCCATAGATGTGTGGGTTTATTTCTGGGCTCTCAATTCTGATTCACTGGTCTCTGTGTCTGTTTTGGTGCCAGTACCATGCTGTTTTGTTTACTATAGCTTTGTCATATATTTTGAAATCAGGGAGTGTGAATGATACCTCCAGCTTTGTCCTTTTTTCTCAGGATTGCTGTGGCTATTTGGGGTCTTTCGTTGTTCCACGTAAATTTTACAATTTTTTGTTCTGTTTCCATGAAAAATGTCTTTGGGATTTTGATAGGGATTGCATAGAATCTGTAGATTGCTCTAGGTAATATGGGCATTTTAACTATGTTAATTCTTCCAATCCATGAGCATGGAGTATCTTCTATTTCTTTGTGTGCTCTTCAATTTCTTTCTTTTATATACTTATTTATTTTTATTGAGGTAACATTGGTTTATAATCTTATATAAATTTCAAGTATATATCATTGTATTTCAATTTTTGTGTAGATTACATCATGTTGACCACCTAAAGACTAATTACCACCCATCACCATACACATGTGTGTAATCACCGCTTTCACTCTCCTTGCTGCCCCTTTCCCCTCTAGTAACCACCAATCCAATCTCTGTCTCTATGTGTTTGTTTGTTGTTGTTTTTATCTTCTATCTATGAGTGAAGTCATATGGTGTTTGACTTTCAACCTCTGACTTATTTCACTTAGCATAATACCCTCAAGGTCCATCCATGTTGCCGCAAAAGGGGAGATTTCATCTTTTTTATGTCTGAGTAGTATTCCCTTGTGTATATATGCCACATCTTCTTTATCCATTAGTCTCTTGATGGGCATCTAGGTTGCTTCTAAGTCTTGGCTATTGTGAATAATACTGCAATGAACATAGGGGGTGCATATGTCTTTATGCATTTGTGTTTTCACGGTCTTTGGACAAATACCCAGCAGTGGAATAGCCGGATCGTATAGTAGTTCTATTCTTAATTTTTTGAGGAATCTCCATACTGTTTTCCATAGTGGCTGCACCAGTTTGCAGTCCTACCAGCAATGTATGAGAGTTCCTTTTTCTCCACATCCTCTCCAACACTTGTTATTTCTTGTCTTGGTAATTATAGCCATTCTGACAGGTGTGAGGTGATATCTCATTGTGGTTTTGATTCGCATTTCCCTAATAACTAGTGATGTTGAGCAATTTCTCATGTGCCTGTTGGCTAGATCTGTATATCTTCTTTGGAAAAAATGCCTATTCAGATCTTTTTTCCATTTCTTAATTGGGTTGTTAGTTTTTTTGTTGTTGAGATGTGTGAATTCTTTACATATTTTGGATATTAATCCCTTATCAGATATATTGTTTGCAAATAACTTTTCCAAATTGTTAGACTGTCTTATTGTTTTGTTGATGGTTTCCTCTGCTGTACAAAAGCTTTTTAGTTTGATGTAGTCCCATTAGTTTAATTTTTCTATTGTTTCCCTTGCCTAGTCAGACATGGTACTTGAACATATGCTGCTGAGACCAATGCCTATGTTTTATTGTGGAAATTTTATGGTTTCAAGTATTACAGTCAAGTGTTTAATCAATTTTGAGTTAATTTTTGTGTATTGTGTAAGATAATGGTCTACTTTCATTCATTTGCACATGGCTGTCCAGTTTTCCCAACACCATTTATTGAAGAGACTCTCCTTTCTCCATTGTATGTTCTTGGCTCCCTTGTTGAAAATTAGCTGTCCATAGATGTGTTTGTATCCTCTTCAATTTCTTTCAACAATGTCTTATAGTTCTCCGTGTACAGGTCTTTCACCTCCTTGGCTAAAGTTATTCCTAGGTATTTCATTCTTTCCATTGAGATTGTAAATGGGATTGTATTCTTGATTTCTCTTTCTATTAGTTCATTGCTAGTGTATAGAAACGTGACTGATTTTTGTACATCGATTTTATACCCTGCAACTTTACTGTATTTGTTTATTATTTCTAATAGTTTGTTGGTGGGTTCCTTAGGGTTTTCTCTATATAAAATCATGTCATCTGCAAATAGTGACGGCTTTACTTCTTCCTTCCCAATTTGGAAACCCTTTTATTTCTTTTACTTGCCTAATTGTTCTGGCTAGAACTTCGAATACTGTGTTGAATAAGAGTGGCAAGAGTGAGCATCCTTGTTTTCTTCCTGTTCTTAGAGGAATAGCTTTCAGTTTTTCACCATTGAGTACGGTGTTGGCTGTGGGTTTGGTTTGTCATATATGGCCCTTATTATGTTGAGGTACTTTCCTTCTATACCCATTTTATTTAGAGTTTTTATCATAAATGGGTGCTGAATCTTGTCAAATGCTTTCTCTGTATCTATTGAGATGATCATGTGATTTTTATTCTTCATTTTGTTAATGTGATATATTATGTCGATTGATTTGCAGATGTTGAACCATCCTTGCATCCCTGAAATAAATCCCACTTACTCATGGTGTATGATACTTTTAATGTATTGTATTCAATTTGCTAATATTTTGTTGAGAATTTTCATATTTATGTTCTTCAGTGATACTGGCCAGTAATTTTCTTTTTTTGTGTGTTGTTCATGTCTGGTTTTGGTATCAGCGTAGTGTTAGCCATGTAAAATCAATTAGGAATCATCCCCTCTTCAATTTTTTGGAAGAGTGAGAAGAATAGGTATTAAGTCTTCTTTGAGTGTTTGGTAGAATTCAACAGAGAAGCCATCTGGTCCTAGACTTTTGATTTTGGG